TTTCAAACTGAAACTTTAATGTACTTAATACATATTTCAAAATTACTTCATGTCGGAAACACTGTTATAGTGTAATAACTATAATTATGAAAGATTTACATCACCACAAGCATCTGGAGATGCACACAGGTGTTATTAATCTATTAGTTGGAAGGCTAAGTAGCTGGCATTATGATAGTACTCTGTGTACAGGACTATTTTTTAAGCCCACCATTTGCAATTGATTACATGGACCATCTGTAACTGTCTGTGAATCATGTTAGGAGTTACCCCACTGACATTTATCGAACATTTGTCATGTAACAAAATGTCTTGTATAGAAAAGTTGACACATAATGGCTTTCAGGTTTCACTAAATCAACTTTAGATACCAGGCTGTATGTACAACCCATTGATATGTAGTCTCCAGAAAAATACGGTTTATGATTTGATTAGGGAATACAGCCTCACCCCGAGCCCTCCGCGCGTAGAGCAAAAGGTCTTTTGTGACCAGAGAGGTGACTTTGCTCCACCGTTTGTTCCCGTGGACCTCTCGAGTGGCGTCAAAAGTGGCGAGGAAAGAAAATGTGGGAGATACAGCTAAAGATGACGTGGGAGCAGCGGATCGCGATCATTCGGCGGCTGGGGATTTGCCTACGGGGAAGACGCGAAATCTCTGTTAAGCCTGTGGTTCACCGAGGAGTGAACCATTCTCACTCGACGCGAACGCGCCACCTGTCAGACCAGAAGAGACGCTGGGGATGGAGAGGGCGGCGGGGAAGAAGGTGCCCCGGGTCCCAGCAAAAAAAAAAAAAAAAAAGAAAAAGGCTGTGGGCCAGCGAGCGGGTCTCGGCCTTCCAAGCACTCTGGTCGGAGTGATAGAGCGGTGGGGTTAGGGGAAGGAGGGCTAGCTAGATTCCGAGGCCACAACACGCAGCCCCCGGGATCAGACTGGGAGACCGCGGGCGCCACCGCGTGCCCCTCCCCTAGCCAGCCTCTCAGCTCCTCCTCCCAAACACGTGACCACAGCCGGCGGGTCTCCTCGCTCCCGCAGCGTAGCTCGCTCTGTTTCTTCCCTCCCGCCGCCGTGCCCTTCTTCTCCTCAGTTCCCATCCCTCCGCCCTCCCCCCACCTCCTTCCCCACGCCCCAATAGCGGCTGGAGCTGCGGAGTGCCCGCCCCTCTGCCCTATTCTTCGCTTGTTCATTGGCTGAGGCCTCAAGGACGCGTCCCGAGGGCGGGTGGCAGCCATTGGTGGGATGAGCAATCCGAGTTCCCGGATGAGGGAACATTCAGCAGTATAAAGGGAGCGGGGAAGGCGGGAGACAGCGCAGTTTGAATCGCGGTGCGACGAAGGAGTAGGCGGTGGGATCTCGCTGGCTGGCTGACTAGTCCTTTCTCTGCCTTGCTTGTTTGAGCTTCAGCAGAATTCGAAATGGTAAACTTCGCGGAGGCGCTCGAAGACTTCGCGGGTTTTTGCCGATGGGAGAAAAACCCGTTACACACGGGAGATGGGGGTGAAGTGGCGACGGTTGGGAACGCGCGGAGACAGGATTTGGAAGAGCGGGGGGAGGTGTTTTGTCGGCGGCGAGCGGAGCAGCCTCCGATCTCGCGGCGGGCGGCGACGGTTGGGTGGCGCGCGCAGCGCGGCTGGGGGCCGGCGGGCGGACGGAGGCGCGCGGCCGCGGCGGGCGCGCTGCGGGGGGCGGGCGGGCGGGGTCGCCCTTGCAGCGCGCGGCTGGCCGGAGACCCCGGCTGGGCACCGGGCCGCGCTCGCGTCTGGGCCGCGCCGTGGTGGGGGAGGGGCGCGCCGCTCTGGTAATCCTATATTCCCCATTCCTCCTTCGCTCGCGGGCGTGTGCGCGCCGCAGGCTGGTGGTAAGGCTGGGAAGGACTCCGGAAAGGCCAAGACAAAGGCGGTTTCCCGCTCACAGAGAGCCGGCTTACAGGTCAGTGGTTGTTCGTGCAGTCTGGGAATTGTGGCGTTTTTCTTTCCACCGCTTTTCGTGTTTATAATCGCTCTAGATGGGCGTTTCGTCCTTGCGTGGGTGATGCGGTGTCGCGACTTGGTTTGCCGATACGATAAATATCGGAGGGGGGGGGCGATCACGTGTGTCGATGCTGGGGCGCGTTGCTGCACCAGCGTATATGCCCCTTGGTTTGGCGCGCGTGTAATATTACCAGCTTTGACTCTAACATCTTTGTGCATTTATGTTTGTGTGCTTAAAATTAAGTTCCCGGTGGGCCGTATTCATCGACACCTGAAATCTAGGACGACCAGTCATGGACGTGTGGGCGCGACTGCCGCTGTGTACAGCGCAGCCATCCTGGAGTATCTCACCGCAGAGGTAAATGGGTGTACGCCTATAATCTGGAAAAGGTTTTGGGGGGGTTGGGGGAAGCGGCGAGAGGGAAGGAGAAAAGTGATGCAAGAAAAACTCCCAGGCCCTAAACGCGGCTAGAAGCTTCTGAGAACGCTAGAGGGGGCTGGTGTTCATTAAGGAATCCTATTGAGCTTCGTTGAGTTTGCTGCTCTTGGAAATAAAATTGCGTGCCCCCTTTTGCATGTGTTGCCATTCAGGTAGTAGGGGAAGACATCATTTGGTAGATTTACCCTCATGAAGATTTGATTCTACTCTCTGGGCTTCCGCTTTAAGGAAAGTTGGAAGGAGATTGATTAGAATCTGCCTTGTAGGTACTTGAATTGGCAGGAAATGCATCAAAAGACCTGAAGGTAAAGCGTATTACCCCTCGTCACTTGCAACTTGCTATTCGTGGAGATGAAGAATTGGACTCTCTCATCAAGGCTACAATTGCTGGTGGTGGTATGTAAATACTAAAATTTTATTCCTTCGTAGAAAAAATTTTGTAGCTCGCTATTTTTTAGTACAGAAGAAGACCTGTTTTCACGGATCTTAAGTGTGGTTGCATTATGAAATTTGATTTGTGTACATAACTTAATATTTACATACTTGAGCTTTGCATTTAAAGACCTTTTCCAAGTTGAACATTAAACTGTCTTAGTTTTATGTTTTATGTGATGTTTATATATATTAAAAAGTAGTATTAATCCTTGTTCCTCTCCTAGGTGTCATTCCACACATCCACAAATCTCTGATTGGGAAGAAAGGACAACAGAAGACTGTTTAAAGGATGCCTGGATTCCTTATTATCTCAGGACTCTAAATACTCTTAACAGCTGTCCAGTGTTGGTGATTCCAGTGGACTGTATCTCTGTGAAAAACACAATTTTGCCTTTTTGTAATTCTATTTGAGCAAGTTGGAAGTTTAATTAGCTTTCCAACCAACCAAATTTCTGCATTCGAGTCTTAACCATATTTAAGTGTTACTGTGGCTTCAAAGAAGCTATTGATTCTGAAGTAGTGGGTTTTGATTGAGTTGACTGTTTTTAAAAAACTGTTTGGATTTTAATTGTGATGCAGAAGTTATAGTAACAAACATTTGGTTTTGTACAGACATTATTTCCACTCCAGTGGATAAGCTCAATAAAGGTCATATCCCAAACTCTTTGTGTTTTAAATTTGCTTGATTGTAATGGGAATTCCTTTCTTTTGAGTAGGGATCTCATACAGCAGTTAACATAAGTCTATTTATTCTCTTGAAATTGAACTTGGTACAACCAAGTCAGCAGACCCACGTGTAATTTTTTTTAATGTTATGTAATGAGCTATTAAAAATTTTAAAACGTTGGCAGGAGCTGCAATGGGGCAAATTGCTGTTTCTTAGGCTAAGCTTGGCCATCTCAGTTTGTTGGCAGTGTCTGCTGTGTGATAGCATCACACTGGTAGGCTACTGCTGTGGTGGATTTGGGGAGGAAGAGGGCATTATAGCTACCTCCACAGAGGGAAGTGTAAGTTTAGACTTTGGAGATAATAGTTTTTCGTGTGCTACAGTGTTTTGAAGTCTACTTGAACTAAATTTTTCAGTTAACATCTTGGGGGGGCTTCATGCTCTTCCCATTTTCCAGAAGAGTGTCAGTATTTATTTGCAAGTCCTGAGTTACATATTTGCATGCTGACAATAGCTTGATTGAACATGGTGAAAAAATGAGTATTTTTTGGTTGGGTTGAGTGGATCATTTTGACACTTGCTTTGTGAAGTTCCTGTCCTAATCTGTTAAATTTGGAAGACATTACCAAGCAATAAGTGTTCCCTTTCGCCCCACCAAGGAGACCCAACATGACAAAGATCACGAGGAAATGCCATGAAAATGGGGGAAAGGAAAAATCCAACAAGTCATTTTCTGTGATGGTAATACTTTAAGAAAAGGTGGTGCCTTCTTGTTTTGGTCATAAAGGATTTGGATTAGGGCTTTTCACCGGAATAATTTGCAAACTGCAAATAAAGTGTTCATATCTTGTGGATGTACCGAGAAGCAATTTAATGGAATATGAATCAGGACAATGGTGTGTAGCTGAAATAAAACGGAAATAAAACAATACCGTAGTTAGGCTATAAAACGATACTGTGGTTAGGGTCAAACGGCGCTCTAATGAGCTTCTGAACACCTGTGCCGGAAGCACTTCCTTGGGACTGACAGCGCGGTACTCACCTGACCGAAACCTCCCAAGGCTGAGGGGGCCTAGAGGCGGCCCTTTGATCCCTGGGATTTTTCCCGTAAACGAGCGTCCCCAGCCCCCTTCCGTTGCTCCGGCCGCCCGGAAGGCGGGCTCCCGCCTGCGCTGGCTGCACTGGGAGGTCACGGGGCACGGCGCTGCGAAGGCTGGAGGCCCGGTCCCCACCTCGACGGAATCCCCCGGCGGGCAGCCGGGCTGGTATCGCCCGCCTACTCCCCCCCACCCCCCCGTCTCCGGCGTTGGTTGGCTCCGAGCGTGTCGGCGCCGCGCCCTGACAGCGGAGTCGGCTCCGACTCCCAGGCCCGGGAGCTCGGTCCAGGGGCCCGGAGGGATGAGGCTCGCGCCGTAGGGGCCCGCGGGGGGCGGGGAGGCCGCCGTGAGGAGGCGGAGCTGTGAGCCCGCCAGTCCGCCCGGGCCGCCGCCGCCGCCACGGTGCCCTGCTCTCCTCCCCGCTCACCACCGCACGCCCCCACCCCGGGTCGGCTGGCCTCCGCCGCGGCCGGGCGTCCGTTTCCCCACCCCCACCCCCTCCGTAGCTGCGCTACCGGGGGAAACGGAAGAAAGCGCGAGCCATGGAGGGGAACCGGGATGAGGCGGAGAAATGTGTGGAGATCGCCCGGGAGGCCCTCAACGCCGGCAACCGTGAGAAGGCCCAGCGCTTCCTGCAAAAGGCGGAGAAGCTCTACCCACTGCCCTCGGCCCGCGGTGAGGCCCTCAGTGTCCCTTCCCTACCTGCCGGGTCCCCAGACCGCCGCGTAGCCCGCCCCCGCCCCCACCATCGCCCCTCCGGGAACCGGCGGCACCCCCGGCCTGCCAGACCCCGCCGCAGCGCCCCGGGAGGAACATCCCGACACACCCCCGCCCCGGCCCCAACTGCCCCGGGCTGGGCCTGGGGTGGGCTGCCCGAGATTCCCTCTGCACTAGCTTGCCTTCCAGATGCCGGCTCTCAGCTGACAGACGAGTGTTGCCGGTGCTCGGGTCCGTTTTGTAAAGGTCTAGCTGTCATTCTGCCAGGAGATTCCTCTGACCCCGTCTTACCTGAATGGGGCTTTATAAATGGCTGTTCGGTTGTGTGGCCCCCTCCCACCGCATCCTAATCCTCAAATAAGGCCTAGGCCCCTAAGGAAGTGAGAGGAATGGGGAACTCTGGTGGCTCAGGTACAGGTCTCCGTTCCACCACCTCTGGGCTAGAACCCTATTCCCAGAGCAAACATTTCGAATACCTGAGATGACATTGCTTTTCCCTGGTAGAGCTTTTTTGTTTGTTTTGTTTTTTGGTTGTTTGTTTTTTTAGAAGAGAGGAGCACAAATTTGGCAAGAATGATAGAGTCAGCAATGATTTCCTAAATAGTATCTGACTGATACTATTTGATAACACCATAATTATTGATAAATCAGGCAAATCACTAAGGAATACCATGCTGGACTGACTTATTCGCCCTGTTCAGGTCCTGCTCTGTAGGCTTTAAAGTAATAATAGCCAACATTTACTGAGCACTTAAGTGCCGGGCCTTGTGCCTAGTGTTTTGTATAAAATATTTCATTTACTCCTCAGAACAGTCCTCTGTTTAACCAGGTTTACCCATGTGTAAACATTTTTTGATGAATGAATGAATAAATGAATGAATGAATCAGTGAGTGAATGAATAAAAATATTTTACCGAAGATCGCAGAGTAATTAGTACCAAAGTCAGAGTAGTACTTGAGCTTTCCAGCTGCAAAGAGCCTTTAACCATCATGCTGTATTGTCTTGCTAATAGAATACTATTTCACTCGAGGTTCAAGGTATTTCTAGGTTAAGAAAATTAATAAGTTAATAACGTGAGGCTGTTTTATTGTTTTCTCAATTTTTTTTATATTGTTGAACCGCTTGTATTCTTTGCTTTCTCTATCATTTTTGTTACACTGCTGTTGAATACTGTACCAGAGAGGACAGGAAAAGGAAGTGAAAGGAAAGAAAGGAGTTAATACTTTTTAAAAATGTGGCACAAATATGTAACAAAATTTACTAAATCATTTTTAAGCATTTGTTTCAATAGTATTAACCATTTTTATACTGTTGTGTAATAGATCTCTGGAATTTTTCATCTTCTAGAGCTGAAATTCTATACCAACAAAACAACTCCCCATTTTCCCTGCCTGCCAGCCTTGGCAACACTGTTCTTTATTTTTAAAATTCTACTACTTTAAATATGTTCTGTAAGTGAAATCATACAGTGTTTGTCTTTTTTGACTGGTTTATTTCACTTAGCATAATGTCCATTAAGTACATGTTGTAGCATGTGATATGATTTTCTTTTTTAAGGCTATATAATATTTCATTTTACACGCACGCACACACACACCCCCCAACATTTTCATTCATCTGCCAGTAGACATTAAGGTTGTTTTTATATTGTGGCTATTGTGAATAATGCTGCTGTGAACGTGGGTGTGCAAGTATCAGATTGCAAGTTTCTTCTGCTTTCAGTTCTTTGAGATACATACCCAGAAATGGGATTGCGAGATCATATTGGCAGTTCTATTTTTAAATATTTGAGGAACTACTGTACTGTTTTCCATACCAGTTGCACCATTTTACATTCCCACCAACAGTGTGCACAAGAGTTAGTTTTTTCACATCCTCACCAAAAGTTTTTTAGATGTTTAACGGATTGAGCCACCCAGGCACCCTTGCCCATTTTTAATTGGATTATTTATTTTGTGGTTGAGTTGTAGGAGTCCTTTATATATTTTAAGTATATATCAGATATATGATTTGCACATTTTTTCACCCATTCTGTAGGAAGTCTTTCATTCTGCTGGTTGTGTCCTTGATGTACAGAAGTTGTTAAGCTTCATGTAGTTTCATTTGTCTGTTTTTGCTTTTAAGCCTGTGCTTTTGGTGTTATATTCGAGAAACCATTGTGCAGAGTTAAAATTTGCATACTATATGACTGCATGATTTCATTTTAACCATTATCTAGTACTAGAGGGACAGTTTTAACAGATGGAATACTTTGGCTTTTGAATCCTATCTTCTCACTTTCTAGCTGTAACCTTAATCTTGGGCATAACCTCTGTAGCCTTTGGTTCTTTCATCTGCAAAATGGGGCAGTAATGTACCGATATCATGGGGCTGTTGTAAGAGTTAAAGGACTTAATACATGGAATGCGTTTAACAGTAAGCACTCAATTTTGGGGGTATCATTTCTATTTAACAAATGTGAGGCTCTGAGAAGCTTTAAACTTGTGGCTTGTTATTCTTATATAAACAATTTGTTGTTTTTATTGTTAATGATTCATTGAGAAATTTTATTCTTTCAGTGTTTTTTTTTTCTTTTTTCTTTTCTTTTTTTTTTTTTTTCTTTTAAAGATTTTATTTATTTATTTAACAGGCAGAGATCACAAGTAGGCAGAGAGGCAGGCAGACAGAGAGAGAGGTGGAAGCAGGCTTCCTGAAGAGCAGAGAGCCCGATGTGGGGCTCTATCCCAGGACCCTGGGATCATGACCTGAGCCAAAGGCAGAGGCTTTAACCCACTGAGCCACCCAGGCGCCCCTCAGTGTTTTTTTTCTTAACTAAGCTCTATGCCCAACATAGCTTGAACTCACAACCCTGAGATGAAGAGTCCTGTGCTCTATTGACTGAACCAGCCAGGCATCCCTATCATATAAACAATTTGAATCAGTCTGCTAAAGGGTACTGTAAGATATCAAAGCACAATACAGTTGTTGCTCTTAAAGACATGAACATAGAAAAAAATTAAGAAAAATAACAGTGAAAATTAATAGTACAATGTCTTGCAAAGGCAGTTCTGTGATTACCAAGTAAAGTGATAGGGTACAGTTGTGGTGTGGTCAGAAAATCTTAGTTCAGATGCAGACTTTGCCTCTAACGGTTTTATAACCAGGGACAAGTTACTTAACATCTCTAAGTCATTTTTTGTGTGAGTTATGAGGGGTGAAATGTTATGTGTGAAATGAAGATTTTATCACAGGGCTGAGGTAAGCATTAGCTGAAATAAAGTTATGCTCAAATGCTTAGCAAAGTGTGTTTTACACAGAATGTTCTCAGAAGATGTTTAATGGAATAATATAAGGATTTAGGGGAGGGAAAGATCTAGAACATTTGTTTAAGTCCTGAGAAAATATTTAGTGTAGAAAGAAATTGAAACTATTGGTTAAAATGAAATTTTAAAAATTTATCCCTAAATTTCTCCTATTCTCCTATCTGAAACTCCCCTCTTCTTCTAGATTACTACCAAATTCTTATAACTCAGGGTTTTGACTGAAGGTTCCTCTGGATGTATTTTCCTACTAAGATAGGCAAAAGAAGACATTGCTTATTGACTTTCATTATTCTTAAACGGTGAATGGGAAAATATGAGAGTAAATTCTAACCAAACTCCAGAATTTTTATCCTCTTTACATTTTATTTTTGCCAGGTGAGCATTTGGATTGATAAAACACTTTAAAAAGTTGGCAAGAGTTTTCCTTGAGGAAAAGCTTGGTCTTAAAATGGATCTAGGACATTATTGCTTTCTATGTTTTTTGTTGAGGATATTATTTTATGGATCATTTATTTCAGTGGACTTCTAAGAGAACTGAATTTTACAAATATTCAAATATTTTCATACTAGGAGTTTGGTTTATGTTCAAAAGGATTGATATGTATGACTAGCTACTATATATTCTGGAAAAATAATGTCAGCAAGCAGAAAAGTAAACTACGTTTTAGCTTCTTAAACTGTATATTTATTGAATTATTGATATGTTTTGGACTTTCACAGAGGGATGCAATCTCACTGTTTTAATGCTTTGCATTGCTATTTACTTAGTATTAACGTTACTGTTTCATACTAATTGGGGCCAATTAGTATAGATATTTTCGTTGTTGGGTTTTTGTTTTTTGAAGAAAAGCATTTTGATTGTTTTCAAGAATTTCTTAGTAACTTGAACTAAATTGTGGTCTACAACTTCAAAAAAGGCCATCCTGTGTCTACTTTAATGAATGGATAACTCATGTGTAATTTGCAGTATCCGTCTGCACAATAGCACTTAAAATAGTCCTCTATTTTTTTCCCTCATATGGGAGATATATGTGTAGAATTTTCCTTTTTTTTACTACATTATTTTAAAATTTAAACCTAATAAAAAATTCAGAGTTCTATCCCTCTTTTGCCTCACTTCAAATAGTAAATTAAAGCTTTTCAAACTGTCATTACACATCTGGAGTATTAGCTAACCTAGTCCTTTTAAGGCAATTCCATTTTCTTCCTATTTCTGACTTAATTAAAATTTAGTGATGAGTACAAATTATACATTCAAAACAATTACTTTGATAACATTGAGTTAAGTGTTATAAAATGATCTCCAAATTTCAGCTAATAGCCAAACTGTTTCAGACATTATAGTTAAAGAAAGAATACTGAATTTGGTTTTGAACCTTAATTTAATAGTTGTGTGACCTTGCATATGTAACTATTTTTTGGAACTTCAATTTTCTCATCTCTAAAATGGGGATACCTTTATTCAACACACATTTACTGAATCCACACTTCTTTGTGGTTAGGGAGTCAGTGAACAGTAAGACAAAGTTCTTGTCCTTCTAGAGCTTACATTCTATAGAAATGAAGTATGACGTATCTGCTAGACATAATAATGACTTAATTCCTGTGATTCTCCTTTCCTTTCTTGAAACTTAGTTATCTCATCTGTAATTTTC